ATCAAATCATTCTGTAAAAAGTTCATTTGATCTTACAGAAATGCTGGACACCTTGAACATTAAGGAAAAGGTTATGTGTTCAATTGACATAGAATCTTTATTCACCAATGTTCCCCTTCATGAAACTGTTGATTTTATTTGCGATTACATCACAAGCAACGGCATAAACTTACCCATTCCCGTCACTTACATCAAAGACATAATCTTAATGTGTACAGAAAATATTAGATTCACATTCCAAGAAAAGGCATATAAACAAATCGATGGTGTTGCGATGGGGAGCCCTCTGGGGCCCCTGTTAGCAGATATATTTATGTCGAAATTAGAGAAACAAATGCAAGGTATGCTTGGAGGATTTATGCTGTATAAACGTTATGTAGATGATACTCTTATTATTGGTAATAATAGTAAATCTATTGAAAACTTCATTACTCTATTTAATCATATTCATCCAAATATTCGAGTGACTTCCGAACTAGAATCGAATAACAAACTTGGTTTCCTGGATATTACTATGACTAGGAGAAATGATGGAACGATTCAGCGCTCTATTTTTCGTAAACAAACATGGACTGGACAATATCTTCATTTTACCAGTTTTGTTCCTATCCAGTATAAACGTTCCCTAGTGAAATGTTTGTTCTCAAGGGCCCGAAAAATATGCACGAGTGACACACTGATGGATGAGCTTCGACATGTACATTCAGTTTTATTAGCTAATGGTTATCCGGAGAGCTTTATCACTTGTCACAGCAAAGAAAAACCACATCTCGAAAAGACAGCTTCTGTACCAAAGAAAGCCATCTTTATTAATCTACCATTCAAGGGCGACCAGATTATGCAGTTGACAACTCAAAGACTTCGATCAGCCATCAAACGCACATTCTACGCCGCCACATCTCTTTTTCTCACTTGCCGAACATTTTCGATCCCTGTTTTTTCCTACGATTAAAGGACGAAATTCTGTGGACTCTACTTCAAACTGTATCTACAAGTTCACCTGCAGCTGCGGTGACACCTATATAGGTAGAACTAACAGAATGTTCCAATGTCGTCGAAAAGAACATATTCCAAAATGGCTAGTAAATCATATCGAAAATCCCAACGCGATTAATCTTAATAGAAATCCAGCATCATCCATTGCAAAACACTTATTAATGTCTGGTCACAAAATAAATATTAATGACTGTTTCACAATTATTTCACATAACTCTAATTCAAGGTTATTGAAGGTGATGGAAGCACTTTGGATTAATCACATACAGCCTAAACTGTGTGTACAAAAATCAATAGACTTCAATCTTCGCCTACCCTGGACTGCATGACCTATCTTAATATGATTGGTCATTAGTATGTACTTTTGTTTTTATTTAACTGAGTAATTTTCATGAACTTTATTTTATCATTGTTAACCATGTTAGTTGTAAAGCGGTTGTAAAGAAACTACGAAATGATATCATCTCGCGAAATTTGTCTTCTTAATACCTTGTTCAAATTTACCAAAGGGACTAATTGTTTTAATTGGTTAATTACGAAACCAAAGAATATTGTAAAATTCATATTACAATGAATAATACTGACTAATAAGGTGGCATGAAGGATTTCGGTTGAAAACCTTCCTAGTTGCACACTTGTAAGTGTACCACAAGTGTGAAGATTTACATTACTGTTCCGTTCTTCAGTCAAAACAATCGCCAAAAATTACCTTGCATTAGTTTTACAACACTCAAAAATGCTACAAACAAGTTGAATGGAATGCACAAACTTATGTTTAACAATATATTTTCAAATATACGAAAAAATTAAAGGGACACCTAAAGGATCACCCATATCAGGTCTGAATGCAGAAGCTGGGATGCAAGGACTACAAAACGTAGTACTACAGACGCTCAAACCAAAAACTTGGATACATTACGTGGATGAGAAGTTCGTGATAACCAAAATAAATGACCTGGACAAAACTTAGAACCCAATAAACATCTTCAGCGATATCAGATTCACAACAGAATAAGAATCCAAGGACAAAATTCCATTTCTAGACTTCATAGTTAAGTTAAGCAAACGACCACAGGAAAATCAGAAAATCAAGTTTACAGAAAACCAACCTACACAGACCAAATAATTAATTACAAAAAAAACAACTTGACAACACACAAAAAGAGTTGAATACAAACATTATTCAAGAAAGCCAAGACTAATTGTAGTACCCTTACTTGAAGGGAAGTGGAAGAAAAATATCTCACGGATGTCTTCCAAAAGAATGCATAATCACGGAAGTTCATCAAAAGACTTCTACCCCTCAGCCAATCAACCAAACCAAAGGCTCCCAAGGAAAACACAAAACTCACCATGGGTCGAGAGGCCCTTGGTGAAATGAACGACAATGGTGAACTCTGCTCAGACTTCTGCACCTTCAATGATTTGGTGATTGGTGGTAGCGTAATCAAACACAAGGATATACACAAGAAAAATGGATTTCACCAGATGGAAACACCAAAAACCAAATAGACTTCATCTCAATTTCAAGAAAGTGGAGACGGAGCCTACTGGACACAAGGTCAAGGAGAGGAGCAGATGTGGGTTCAGACCACTATCTAGTAGAAGGGACTTTCAAGGTGAAACTAAAAGCCTCGAGGATAGCTGGGGATAGGCCACAATGCAAGTTCAACACTCAATTACTGAAGGACACAACCACAAAAGACACTTTCACTGCAACTGTCAGAGCAAAGCAGGAAACACTACGCGACGTCACTGAAGAATCATGCGTGGAAGAACATTGGAAGTCTCTGAAGGCGATTCTCAACGAAACGTGTTCAACGGTTCTAGGAAGAAAGAAGAGACAAGACAAGGAATGGCTCTCAACGGACACTTGGAAACTAATAGAGGAGAGGAGAATGGTGAAAGAGAAAATGATTCAATGCAAGGACGGACAGGAGAAGGAGACGATGAGCTCAACTTACAAAGCATTGGACAAAGAATTGAAGAAGAGTGCTAGGAAGGACAAAAGACGATTCTACGACAACCTCGACACTGAAGCTGAGAAGGCAGCAGGCAAAAGGGACCTGAGGACACTATATCAGATAACCAAATCTCTATCCGGGAAGAGATCAACGCAAGCGAAGCCTATAAAAGACAGCCAAGGGAACCCAATCACCAAGGAAGACGAACAGATCAAACAATGGGCGGACCACTTCAAAGGACTCTTGAACAGACCATCACCTGCAACCCGTGCAGAAATACCAAAAACAGTGCGCACACAACTGCAAGCTGACACCAATCCTCCAACGAAAGCTGAAGTCTTGAAAGCAATCAAGCTTCTCAAGGCTGGAAAAGCAGCCGGACCAGATGGAATACCCCCTGAAGCACTGAAAGCGGACCCAGAGACTACAGCAGACATGCTAACTCCATTATTGAAAAAGGTCTGGAAGAAGGGAAAGGTGTCTACTGACTGGAGGAAAGGTTACCTCGTGAAACTACCAAAGAAAGGCGACTTAGGACATGACTCCATGTGAACATAGACAAGGCGAAGGTTATGAAAATAACCAGCCAACAACAACAACATCAGCAGCAACATCCACCGCCAATCACCATCAACAGGAGGGATTTGAAAAAGGTTACTTCATTCACTTATCTATGGCGCATTGTTTCAACTACAGGAGGAACGGACGAGGATGTCAAATCGAGAATCAGAAAGGTGAGTAAGAAACACATTCATCAACCTGAAACCAATCTGGAAATCTTCGTCACTCAGCCAGCATCAACAACAAAATTCAGTCGGATTTTCAATACAAACGTAAAGTCATTCAGTTCTTCTATACGGATCAGAAACTTGGCAGGCGGGCGGGTCATAAAGAATATTTCCAACAGATCACTGCAGACATTTATCAACAACTGTCTTCGCTGGATCTATACTGAAGATCAGATGGCCAGACTGGAAAGAATCTCCAACAAGAAACTATGGGAACAAACAAACAAAACAAGGACCGATCGCCCAACAAATATGAAGAAGAAAGTGGAGATGGATTGGACACTCGCTGAGGAGACCGGCACTGGGTGACATCGCGCGTCAGGCCTTTGCTCGAGTGGAACTAGGCCGAAAGAGAGGCGGCGAGTGGGACATCAGTGCAAGGCTGACATGGAGGAGATCGTGTAAAGAGGAGTTGAAAGAGTATGGACTAACATGGATGCATGTGAAAAGTACAGCAGAAAACAGGAGCAAGTGGAGACGTGTAGTTGAAGCCCTATGTTCCACTAGGAACCCAAGGGAGCAACAACATATATAAATTACTCCTTAGAAATCACTTCAAGACTCCTCAAACCTTTGGGAATTGAAGTTGCACATAAACCAACAAAATCACTTCAATCATCTGTGTGTCAGCCAAAAGATTCAACAGAAAAAAAGATAAAATCAACATCATCTACAAGATAAACTGCTACGACTGCGAAAACACTACATTGGCCAAAGTAGGTGCTCTCCTTGTCTTTGCATCCAAGAACACAAACTAGCCATCATATCGCCGCATACAGACAACCACAGACATCACTTCGACTGGGACAAAGTTCATATATTATGCAGAGGAAACATAAAGAATGCCAGAGAGTTTTTAGAAGCTTGGCAATTAACAGGCAGATTAACATAGATAAAATCTGCCAATCCATAAAAAGAAAATCTCATGCACAAAAAGTCAAACTTCAGGTCAAGGAAACAATCAATACCTATACAAGTAGACTACATGGTGTGAAGACAGGAACAACCAATCAAATTCAGGGAAAAATCTAAAAGCTCACTTCCAATTGAAGTAAGCGCTGAACATGTTGCCTAGTAGAGCAATGAAAGCTTAGCAAATAAACCATCCAACTCAGAGAACACAACTACACTAAAAATTTCGTTTATTCCTTTGGGAATATATCAACTTTTAATAGTAATAAATATACACGATAAACTTATTTGAAACGATGAAAACTCTTGGAATATAACCACTGCATCATTTCAGAGATACCTGTTCTTTTATTTTCTTTCTCATTTCTTCTTCTTCTTTTTCATCCAACAAGCCTTGTTTTAAAAGGTAATTTCTTAATCTACTTATTGGATTATCGCCTTGTTCCCATTGTTTCACCTCTTCATCAGACCGATAAGCTGTACTGTCATCACTGGTACTATGATGTCCAACTCTGAAATTATACAAACTCAAATCTTTTCAATATAGCAAAAATATTCATTCAGACATCTATAAAACACAAAATAATCGAGCAAAGAATATTCTTTTCGATAAATTCCTCTTCTGGCTCTACAGTTATATATATATATATATATATATATACACAAAATATTCAAGATTGGTAGTTAATAACAATACTGGTGTTTTTTAAATAATATCGATTTGTAAAGTATGATCAATGAAATTACAGTTCACTAAAGATGCTTAAATAATAATAGTAATAAAGATATAATAGTGAATAGAATATCAACTAAAATTCGGGAAATCGCACAAAAATTCAGGATAATTCAGCATGGCCAAGGTAATGCTGATGTCTGAACTAACTTCTTTTCGATACACAAATTAGGCTTGTTAATATGGATCCCAACAGAAAGCCTCAACAATATTTAGTAGTCGAAGTCTTAGAGGCAAAATTAAGATTCGTAGGTATGCGGTAAATGACCCTGAAAGCATGGTTAACGTCAATCTTGTGTTCTGTCTCCACAAGATGAGACAGAATAGCGCTGCAAATAGATTTTGTTTGGCCTTTGCTTAACCACGCAGGGTGATGTTCGGAAATTCGACGAGCAACACGCCTAATTGTGCGGCCTATGTAACTGGCTCCACAGGAGCAGTTAAATTGGTAGATACACATGGATGAGGCGGAACTAGCCAGTTTGTCTTTCACTCCCGAACGCAGAAGAGGAGTGGTCTTAAAGATACAACATAATTCAGCAGCAGGGAATGCTATTTTTACCGAATTTCTAATGTGCTGTGTTATCATCTCTCTAGTGTTGTCCCCAAGGAACTGCATCTGAAAGAATAAGGCCTATTTTAGAACTGTTGGTAACTTCGGCTGCTTTCGTTTCAAATTCATATTCTTATCAATAAACTTTTCAAGATAACCATTCTCACTTAGCAACCGTTTAATATTATTCAGCTCTTCATCAAGACATTCGTCCGAGCAAATTGCTCTTGCTCTGTAAACTAGGCACTTTATCAAATTGCGTTTGTATTTCAAGGGCACAAAACTGAGAAAATGTGTGCACTGGCCCGTTGATGTAGATTTTCTATAAACACTTCTTGTTATTGTGCCATCCTCTTTTCTGGTCATAAAAACGTCTAAAAATGGAATACTAGATTCTTTTTCTGTCTCGATGGTAAAATTTATTGCAGTTGGTTATATGAAAATGATTATATATATGTATATATGTACAAACTGAGAAGACACAAAATATGAGACAAAACTTGAAAAATTGTTCAAACTCTTATTCTTAATTTGGCTAATTTTTCCAAAGTCAACTTTTAAGCAATTATATTTGACATTAAACGTCTTCTTATTCTTCTGTTGTGAATAACTGCTTCACCTTATGATTGAATGCTCATTTTATTGAGTTTGAGCAGTTAAACAATAAGTCGAAACCTTTTTGTTTGTTCGTTCACTTATCAATATCGCATTGATGTGAAAATAATCTATCACTGGCATTAGTTGGGTTTGTTTGTTTTTTCTTCAAAAATAGAGGTGTGCTATTAACAGTTTGTCAGGGAAAACAATACACATTGTAAAATAGACAATGATTTCTCTAAACAGATTAAAAATTAATTATTTTTACTAACTAAAGAATCAATCTAGATAACAAGAGTTAAATAAATTTTAACTTTAGGTGGTGAAAGTGACTGACATATTTTTCCAGAAAAATAATTTAATCACTTGATAAAAAATTACAGTTTTTGTCAACTATAATAACGCTGTATAATAAATATGAAGTTAAACTGTGAGTATAAAATAAATGTCTGCAAGTTTTATTGTATAACAAACACATGAAAAAAAGATCAGCTAATTCATTGAGAGAATTCATGTGTCAGTATTCCACTTTTGTAGAATACATTAAGAAGTATATTTTTCTTTTTGTTCCTATCACATATGAAACTAAAGGGATCAGACAATAGACAGTCTGACAGTGATACTTTTTCAGTCTTATAAGTTACATCTAAAATATTTTTTTTGGTGTATCCACTGAAGTATATTGGGGAAATACGATGCTTAGTAAATATAAATCATGCCACGTGATAATCCATGTCAATAAAAGGCTGTCAAACATCACAGTCGCTTCTATTATTTAAAAAGGTAAGTGTTTATGTTTCACTCCTTGTAAAAATTACAAATATACTATTGATTAAAACTTGTGGATTACTTCATATTCTACCAGGAAGCTCAGATGGTGGGTAACATAATGAAAACTAATATTATTATTTCCTTTAATTTCTAGAGGAACATAGGGCTTCAGCTGCGCGTCTCCATTGCGTTCGGTTTTCTGTCAACGTTTTCACCCTGCTACAAGTCTGCCCACATGCTTTCACATGACCTCCTCTAAGTCACCCTTGCACTGACGACCAACTCACCGCTTCCCTTTGCTTTCACAATCGATTCCTGGTTGGTTCGCTCACTGCCAGAGATCCCTGTTGCTGATCTTTTCTGGTCGGCCATCTGATCTTGAGTATTGAACGAAGATAACTGTTAATGAAGGTCTGAAGTTTGTTTGAGATGCTCTTTATGACAGACTGGCCAAGTCTCCGATCCGTATAGTAAGTAGCACTGACTGACTTCACATTGGAGTTGAAAATCCGGATGTTATTTTTGATGTTGGGTGCTGTTGACCTCCACATAGACTTGAGAGTAATGAAAGCTTGTCTTGCTTTTCCGATTCTCGCTTTGATATCCTCGTCAGTTCCGCCTGTAGTTGAACACACGATTAGATGATTGTCCAAGATATTTGTCTTTTTACTTGTAATTTAAGACTAGAAGGGATGAACTTTAAGATATATTATTCATGTAACTGTCAAAGTAATTTTTCCTGTTAAAACTCTGCTCTACCGTTGCTATTAGATAGTTGGAAGCAATCAGCAGGAAACTTTGGACCTAGGTCTCGTGCTGGTTGGCACTCATCAGCAAGGCGTACCTGCAACATTTAAGAAACTAATGTCCCTTCTGAGATTAAAACCCGCATCATCCAGTGCTGCATTCAGAGATTTTACCACTGAGCTATTCAGGTTCGTGATTGACCTCTTGTAGGACAGTATTTAGTATTTTTGATTGGACGCTAGTCAGTAACTAGTGTAATGTGTTTGTCGACTATCTACTCTATCGTCATTTTACTCTCCTTGCGTCTTGGGTGGGACATAAGGCTTCAAGCTTAGGGTTTCAGTAGTTGCGATGTTGTTTTGATGGGATGGGTTTACTACTCAACCTTCTGTCTTCTCCAGGTGCGCTACCAGCCAGATAAGGTTTAGCAGTAACTAGCAGGTAATCGAACTTGAGTCTGAAGCGTGGCTGGTGAGTCTTCTGTCAAAGAATCACTGACACACATCTCCATTGTCATGATAAACAACAGTTTTGAGAACTTTTACCGAAAAAAACCGAAATAAACTTTCTTACCTATATGTCATAGCTTCAATTAATACTGGTCTACATTCTTTAAAGCATATTTCACGTGCCATTTTAGTAGCAGTGTATACAGCGAATACATCATTTCCATCGACCCTTGCACCAGGAATTCCAAGTGCTAATGCTCGAGCAACTATATTGTGAAAAGGATAAGTATAAATGTACTTAGTTATTTAAAATGTATTCCCTATTTTAAAGTAATACTACTTTAGAATTCCAAAGATAAGTATAAATTTGTTTACCCAATACTAACACTTTCACCTAATACAACCTTTTTTACGCTAACTGCTCAAAACTATATTTTGACCCTGAAAAATATGTATAATTTTAGTGTAGGGTTAATTGTACTAGCTTTATTATTTATAATTACCATTCCTTCACGTTCCCAGTGGAACAAATGGCTTCAAGCTAGAGGCTTCAAATTTCTGTAGCAGTTTTTATTTTTACAGGATGAGGTTGCTAGCCTCATGCCTAACCTGTCGCCTTTACTGGCTTGGTGTGGTAAAGCAGTGCTTTGGCTGGGGGTCGAACCCCGGACCATGTGCATGGTCGGCGAGCGTCCTAACCGCTGTACCACCGACGCACAGCTTTATTTCTACTAAATGATTAACTATCATAACGCAAACTGATCTTCATGATATGCAAATAACGTTTACTGCAAAGATTTGCTAACACTTACCAAACTATTTCTCACTTAAATTCAGTATAGAATGTTTGCCTTTAGAGGCATATACAAGATAAGCAGTCCAAAGTGAATCTATCTAGTTATTTTATCATACAATAACATTATGCATCCCTTTTTTGAAGTATGGTCTAAGGAAATAAAGAATTATGAATTCGATTTGTGATAGTGTTAAATCAAATGAGACTTCGCGGTTAGCAACAGTTTAAATACAATTCTTGTTTTCAATGAAATTTCATAACAGCGGTTGGGACATTCGCTGACCATGCACATGGTCTGGGTTTTGATCCCCTGCCGACGCACACCTGATATCAATGGTCGGCCTGCAAAATTTGGGCTACCGATATCACATGCTGAAATCTCCATACTTGAACTAAAAATACGGTGTGGAATCAAGCTGTACGCAAAAAATAGTAACAATAATAATGGCTAGTTTTTGAATTACTTGTATTCTCTGAGCTGACTGGTTAAATTGCGAAGCTTTTATCGTCCATCTAGACAACATCTCCAGCACAGAAGGACGACGAAAGCTTCGCGATCGAACCAATCAGCTCAGAGAAAACAACTAATTCAAATTATCCACCTGAGCTGCAAATCTTCTCTCAAACTTCAATAATGGCTATTTCAGAGTCACCTGACTTTGATATCCTTGAATTAAACTTATGCGTCAAATTTTAATACAGCTTACTTGTAAATAGATAAAACTGTCAGAATGCAATCAAACGAAGGTAAATGATTCTAAAAAATATTCTACTATTTACCTGAATGTAATAAATTTCATACTGCTTAAAAATATTAAATTGTAAATATGCTCTCAGATGCAATCAATAAACTTTAAACATAAATCAAAATTAGTTTTACTTAAGTCACACTTTGAGTTCAACATTATTAGTTCATTTCACTCTATAGAATCATTAGACCACCCAAAATCCTCATGTCAGTTCATCAATTTTTAATACAAAAACAAAGTAACTATGATGCAAAATTTCTATTAAATATTTTCAATCTTTTAAATCATACTACTTAAACTTTTGTTGTCTTCATTGAAACACTTTAATCAAAATAGAATATGTCTATATATATTTATAGACATGCAGTCTAAATCTAACCTATTCCATCTCCTCTGTATTGCTCCCGACTAGGAGTGGATATAGCATAACCATTATTTCTTACTATGAACAGTAGAGGGCACTGAAGTGTTGCAGCAAAATTAAGACCAGTGAATGCATCTCCTTCAGAAGCTGCTCCTTCTCCAAAATAGCAGGCAACAACGCTTCCATTACCAGCTAATTTGTATGAATAAGCTGATCCTGCTGCTGTAATAAGAAAAAAAAGAGACAAATAAACACCTATCTAAAACAGAAATATATTTAAATGTCCATTATACTGCTCAATTTATCAAACACTTATCTTAATTCAAAAATTATTTTTATTTTACTAAAAAAATTACTAAAGAAAATGAGCGTTTGTTTTCTATATCATATTGACTGTTGAATTTATTACTTTCATTATTATTAATTGGTGGATGGTGACTAGCAGTGGAATCCAGGATGCGCATTTTGTCCTATCTAGGACTCATCAGCTGAATGTACTTGCATTCCTCAGTGAGTGATGTTCCCACCGAGGCTCGAACCCAGTGCCCGTAGTTTCAAACGCCAAAGCGTTATCCACAAAACCACTTGGGCTGCGATAGCCACCTCTTGTGCTAGTCATCATCCACCAATTAACTTCTAATTATTTGCCGATGCGTCGTCGAAGCATCTGCACAAGAAGCCGACATCTCAACCTGAGACAAAGCACTTCGGTCCAGTCAATGGGCAGGAAAATCTAGAATTAAATTAAATAATTTCACTACTATTGTTTATAATTATATCTAGAAACAAAGTGTGTATTAAGGAACATAAAGTGTGCCATCAATTTCAACAGAGTAATGTTGAGGCGTGTGCTACTGATAAGATTTATGAATAGAATACAAACAGACGTCCAGCAACATAAAATATCAAATAGCAGAGAGTTAGATTTGACGTCAAAGACAGCAAAGGGTTCAGCGTTGCCGCAAAACATGAGACACGAAACGAAGATAGTGAAACGCAATACGAAAGGCAGAAGTAGCACAACACCGCAGATTTCTTCAAATGACAATAAGGTGCACATAATTTTGTTGTTTAGAGCTCTGAAATCCAAATAAACATTCGGTTACCAAGTCTCTTGTCTTCTACCGTTACAATATGAAATCAGATTCTCGATGGGTGTTAATTAATTATCCAGTTACTTTTGAACTCTGATGTACATTAAAAGTCGATATGGACGAAATTTTTTATTTTACAATAAGTTTTCTTCAGGTTCTTACACGTATAATATAAAATAGTCGTTATCATTTCACTAATTGCCACATGCTTGGAGGCTATTCTCCTTCTCAGCCAAGCTTTTACTTCATACCCTTAAAGTTTCGTCAACAAGTATGGCAAGAGAGAATGTAAAAATCCAAATATAATTGCAGTCAGCAAAAAATAGATTTTCATTCAACTGGACTTTAAAGGTGACGATATTAAAAGAATAAATAATGAACGTTCAAGTACAGCACTGACCAGGCACATATCCGGAAGCAAAGCTAATCTCTCTGTTCCTTACATTCTACGTATAGGCATAGTCAAAAATCGATAAGCACTCCTCTCATGTTACCTCCAATTGTGTATATTAGTTAACTTATAACTACAGGAGTTGTCTCATTGAGAGAGAAAAGAATGACCTGTGTAAGATTCTTTGAATACGTACCAAAGATCCTTTGAATAAAGGGAATGAACGGTTTGAACTCATCAATTACTAAGCATCGAATAGACACAGAAAACCAAGCGGACACATTTGGAGCATTTAAAACAATTAAAAGACTAAGCATCCCAAATATTCTTCAGTTTACCGAATCAACTGCAATAAAACAACTGAAACCTGACTTATGCAATGAAAAGGAATCCGTCATGTAACATCAATTACCCTAGTAACTTTCCCCTTGATATCTGTTTGTCATATGTTTCTGTCGTTTCGTTTCGTCACACACATACACCCAAATTTCTGACTTTCATAGACATGATGTTAGATTCTTTGAATTCTACTCACCGTATTATATCATCATCTCTTCATTTGACTTCGTACACTCTAGATTTTCTTCCTGAAGAAGTTTTATGAGTTCTAATCACTTCATTCTATTTTCTCCAATTACACAGACAAAACTGACTTACCACTACCACCTAACAACCAATTTGCGCGTCTTTTACGTGAAACTTCACTCTTATAAAATAAGTGCGTACTAATATTTTTCAAATAACCTTATCATCGTTATGTTTTGTTTTACAATGACTTTCTTACAGAAATCCTAACTGGAGGACTGATTCACAATCATAAACAAAATGTATGTTAAAACTCTATTATGGCCTGTTTTATCAAATGTTACAGGTTCTACACAGCTGTAAAAAACCAATGAAATAAAATGGGTCTGCGCCAGTGTTTGCCCTATCATTGTTCAAACTTTTATTTCATTATACGGAAATATTTAATACTCTAAAGTTGTATGATATACATGAGTTCAATCTGTTCAGCACTTTTTTAAAATGAGTGTTGAGTGCATAAAGTTAAAAACTTCACAAGTTCATTAATAAGTTATTGAAGTTGTTGAAACATTCTCAAAACTACATGAAGTGTAGTCTGAATCTTTCATTTAAGATAAATAAATATCGAGAGAGAGAGAGAGATGAAGAGAGAGGATAATGATACAGTATAAAATTGAAACTGTGGCTCACCTTTCAGCTGAGCCAATATAATTCATTTTGATTTATATGTCAATTTACTAAAAACAACGGTTCATTTTCAGTTTAGCGAGAGTTGCTAAATTCAGATCGTAATTACTTTGTCCGCTCTTTGTGTTTTTGAAATACACTCGTTGTTTTCTGCATACGACTGACATCCTTGACAGTGAATCCAATGTAGCATTTGTTTTTTGTACTTATTTGAACAAAACCAATATTTATTATTATTTTAGTCGTTTATGTTCTTAATGGAACATAGGGCTTCAAGCTAGAGGCTTGAAATTTCGGTGGCAGGAGTGGGGTTGCTAGCCTCACGTCCAACCTTCCATCCATCCCTACTATCGGGTATGTGAGGTCCAGGAGTATGCTGCGCTGAAATCGAATCCGGGACCGGATGTGTGGTTAGTGAGCGTTCTATCGCCGAACCACCGACGCTGAGCAAAACCATACAGATAGTTCAATGACTCTTTTAGACAAACTAGCTAAACAGACACTCATATTAAACAAGAAACAAGAAACCAGCTTCTATTGTTTAATTTTCTGAGTTTTCCTCACTAACAATCAAACCCACTATTGTGAATTCAAATATTTATCAAATTTCAAACTTGATACTGATTATTATTTCTCAATAAAGTGATGTGTCTTTTTTAAATATCAAAAATATTTATCTGCATTTGCTTTACTAATCGATTACTTAGTGCAATGTTCTACAGACACAATATAATAATCTTCCTGACCGTCACTTTAAATATTGGTTTACTGTCTTTCGTTGTTTTAAATCCCCTATCGATACAGTCTAGGTTTTTCGATAAACAACAAAAATAACAGTCTACTTAAGTCTGAATTATTTTATAGGATATTTCTAACCTATGGAGCTTTTGTGCTGTTTAATCTGTGTTATTACTATGAAATATTTCTCTATACATCAAAATGAATGCTTCACTTGAATGCCTTCATGAAAACTGTTAGGAAGGGAACACTCCTCATCAACGTCGCTTCTAAACGAATGGATTCATATCCAAGAAAGTAAGGCACATAATTCATTTCTCAGCTGAACAAAAGAATTTATGAGACTTGTGTATAAAAGTGCCATGAGACAACTGCTTCCATAATTCCACTCACCACTTGGAAAGCGTTTCCCTATCTTTTTGAAGAAATAAATACAGAGTGAGTCTTAAGGGCATCATAAGCATCATTTACACTAGGAGTATACTACAGTATTCTTCACAGTGTTGTTGTTACATTCACCGGTCTTTTCTGCAAACTATGACTAGAGTCTTGATGATATAGATCGAAATACTTCCAATATCTCAATTGAGAATATTTCAAACATGGTTGACGCCAAAAGAAACTCATTCCAATTGCAGAGAAATGTGGCACACCAAATGCGTATAAGTCTATCAAGAATTCAAAAGTAGAATACTTGACAACTTAGCATGGGGTCTAGGTTCAACCATCGATCGACAAACTCCTAAACCTTGCTCAGTAAAAAAAGGAATATTCAGCGTGAGACTAGAAACCCCACTAAGCAAAAAGGAAAACACCACTACTACTGAAACTCCAAAGGTCATGCCTGAAGCTCTGTGTTCCACTCGGAAAGCAAAGCAATGAAAAAGGGAAATACATTACCTACTGTCAGTGAAGTTATTCACGCTTCCCAGAGAATCTAAGATATGAATATCTTTTGTAAGTTACTGACTAACAGGACTGTTTCTCAATGTCTTCTTCGATGAGTTACTGCCTCATTTTCAACTTGCTGTACCCTACTGGTCACAGCTTCCCACTAGAACCCCAGGTTAACTGCCTGAATAGGGCCAGTCGCTAGTGAGCATCGGATTAATTTTGAAGTTCTGGTTTTGTAGGGATTTGGTTTGATTGTGTGGAGGATTTCATCATGAGCTGACATCAGTTAGAGAACCGTTGGAAAACCTGGGAGTAATGGACAGCTGTTTGGGACTCTTCACAGTACACACCCACCGGGATTCAAACCCAGGACTTTCTGGTTACAAGGCGAGCTCGTAGACCATTGAGCCACTGGGACCTGATCCAATGGTCCTTGAATTCTAAGTTTTGCCAATTCACGACATAGCGCAACCACTTCACAATGTCTTCTTGGATGAGTTACTGCCTCACCTTCAACCTGCTGAAGCCCTCCATGCAATCAAACTAAATCCCTACAAAACCAGTACTTCAAAACTAATCCGATGCTCACTAGCGACTGGCCCTATTCAGGCAGTTAAACTGGGGTTCTAGTGGGAAGCCGTGACCAGTAGCGTACAGCAGGTTAATAGGACTGTAACCATATCTCAGGTTTGCTTTAACTCAGAGTACATTAAATCTATTTTTTTTTTTTGTAATATTTTTCTTACAAGACTACGCACTAATTTCGTTTATCAGCAATATAAAGTGAATTAATAATGTTTTTAAATATTAACCTTAAATTCTCAAAAGTAAAGAATTAGTTTACACTTCCTACCAATAGGTATTTGAGTAGCTAGAGGAGATGATACAGTAGAGAAATTCAGTTCCCTTGATCCATAATGAAGTGGCATTTGACGACCTTTATTTCTATCACCAACATTTGAATAACACTGATCCATTAGATTTTCTAATTTTTGCCCTCGCCATAAAAGAACTCCAGCTTCTCTGTATTGAGCATATATGAAATCCTCTAAAGATATGCAATCAACACTGAGATTAATTACCTGGCTTTAATGCTGCTGCAGAACTAACAGTGGCTGCTTCTTCTCCATAGCTGGTCATATAAAATGATATTCGACCTTGACGTTGAGATTCATACATTATTTTATCAAAAGTTCTCAAAGTGATCATCTTCATAAAAATATCCATTAGTAAATTCTTATCTAACTAAACCAAGTTATCATCAATAAACACTGATACCTTAGATTTGTAATTAGGAATTTTAGTTTCACCATTCTTGTCAATGACTTGAAAAATTCGTATACAACCCGATCGTTCTGGACGAATAAAATCCAAAGTGTTTGTGTATGGGATAGTGTGATCAGGAAAAGAAAACTGTCTGTGTGCTCTTATGTTTACTCAACCTACCGAACAAGCATGGCCCGAAGCAAATCTCCTGAAGAGGTAAAAGTAGGCTGATTTTTTAATCATTCTTCTTGGACTGATATCAGAACAAATTCGGTAGCTGTGGTTAAACAATAACCATGAGAAATATATGATTAAATGGAGCTTTTATCAATGGTATTTGGTCCCAAGGTCAACATAAAATACTGTACTCATAAACATTTCTTTCTTGTGGTTAAATACCCCCAGTAGAATGATAGAAAAATAGAAGTCTGTTTTACATTGGTCACTGGATAATTTAGTCAAATCTCCTAGCTTAAAAGGTAATGAAGACTATGAAGAATAAGTTAGACATGTAGCTACAGATTTGAAAATTATTATAAGACGAAGATCTGCAGGGTGGCTCTTCAATAAATAAAAAAGTATGGTTGTGATTTGGATTAATGTAACTCTAATTCTACGCTAAATAAATAAACAGGGTTCTCTTTCAAACAGTAAGAACTTGTTTTCAAGTATTGGTTTTGTAGGGATTTTGTTTGATCGGATGGGGGACTTCATCATGAGTTGCCATCATTTAGAGAACCATTGGAAAACTTGGGAGTACTGGACAGCGATTTCGTCAGCATAGTTTGGGACTTTTCAGCAGTACACACCAAGTGGGGTTCCAACCAAGGATCTTCTGGGCGATCTCGTAGACCATTGAGCCACTGGGACCCTATCCAATGATGAGTCGGTAACTCACCGAAGAAGACAGTGGTCACGCTATGTCGTGAATTGGCAGAAATTAGAATTCATGGGCAGATGGTTCGAGGCCCGGTGGCTCAGTGGTCTACGAGCTCGCCTTGCAACCGGAAGGTCATGGGTTCGAATCCCGGTGGGCGCGTACTGGTGAAGAGTCCCAACCTAGGACGAAACAGCTATCCAGTATTCCCAGGTTTTCCAATGGTTCTCTAACTGATGCCACCTCATGAATTAATCCTTCATCCAGTAAGAACTTGTGATCATCTCTTTCTGTGTCAAAGTTACTCCTGTCGGTTGTTGTATTTCTGTCAGATGAACGTTTAAATGTTTAAACCATAAGTGGTTCTGACAGTTCAGAATAATCCGGTCAAACTTTAAAATAAGTAAGTACACTGAAGATACAACTGCCCAGCAGCTCTTAACCACGATGGAAGACTAAGTTTTTCGATGCTCAATATTCAGTGAACGACAGAATAAGTGTCAGTTTCAATTGTGGAAAAAGAATCCAACTAAATATGTATATATACATCCTGTTGGCAACAGAATACATGAAATGTTTGAAATGAGGATAAAATTAGTGTCTTTGGCAGTCATTTCCTAGGTTACTATTTATAAAATATGCGCTATTAGCACTGTTACCTTCGTGGAATATTCAGAATGAAGTTTCCATGCCTCCAAACCGTCTCTTCGAAAACTAACTTGCAAGTTCTGGATTAGCTTCAGAACTCAGATCTCCTTGCATGTAAACTAAGCGTGTCAGAAGCTCTGAACACGCTGTATTCCTATGTCATATTTATTTACTTAACACTCCACAATTGAAGCCTTACTACTTACTGAGTAGTATCTTGGATATAACTTGCATTTTATAATCTCAGTACATTTAGTCTGCAGAGATAAAGGGTACTTAGCAATGACATTGGAGAATTACTGTTTCAAATTTTACTAATAAGGCCGAAGAAAATGACATATCTGATTATCATTTTTTTATATAGGGCTTCTGTTAGTAGTTGAAGAAACTTTCAAAGTAGCAAGCACTTCGGTAGCTTCTTATCCGAGGGTCCCTGTAAAGTCTGTTTTCTCACACGACGTAAAGGTAACTGTTGCCTTTCAACTAATTCTAAGTTGTGTCTATGAAATCTCTTAAGGCTAATATGATGTGTATCCTTATCAGCAGTTATCACAACATGCGTGACATTTTGTTCCTTATAGCATTTCATGCGTAAAATTTTATCACTTTAACAAGAGAATGTCACTATCAGTATTTTCACAAAGAAATGTGGTAGTAGGAAGAAAGAACTCGTAAGGCTTAACTTATAGAACAATGTAATCTAATGATTCATTGGCTACTAACCAAAAACTATTATAAATAGCATGTCTAGTGACATACTTCCTATCTTATTTGGCTTCTGACACACTGGTTCAAAAATTCAAAATTGAATTTCTGCCAGAAACTGACAGATAGGCATACAGAGTCTACATTCAGCCAAAGATACATTTTCAGCTGTCACTCAATCACGTAGCCTAATGGTCTAAGAGCTCGCCATGTAACCACAAGGTCCTGGGTTCGAACCTTGGTGAGTGTGCGCTGATGAAGAGTCCCAAACTGGGACGAAATAGCTGTCCAGTACTCCCGTGTTTTCCAATGGTTCTCTAAATGATGTCAGCTCATGATGAAATCCTGTCACCATCCAGCTTAAGTTGGAAAGAGATTTACTGTCACAGTAAGTTAACTTCACGAAGATTAACATGAAAATTCTGCTTGATACTCAGCAGATATTAACGCCGCACTTACAGAGACTGACTGGTGTCAACACACAACAAGCCAAAGGCGGAGAGATTTTTTCTTACCAGTAATAATGAGAACGATTCATATCTACATACACTAATAAAAATTTAAACAAGGGTTTCACTCAGATATTCAGAAGATATAGGATCCAAAACAAAGTTATAGCCTGGATTATATAGTCTCATAGCAACGTATTAGAAATAATCAGTGTCAACGGCTTCCAGTTACTTGAAATCAGTACAGATTAGCGTACACTGAAGCAAAATTTCCCTGTCATCTGTTGTGCTAGCGATTTTAGGTTATTATCAAATAGGTCATGTTTTAATGAAAAGATGAATATTGCGCACAATTTCTCACTTAATAATTCAAGATCAACTCCATACAACTTGTGAAATTTGTAACCACTTTGTGAGGCCTTGAAATCTACTACCAGGTTTTTGGATATTTTAAACTACAGAGCCACAAAATTCAGCTGTAGGGATATGACGGCTATAATAAAATTATTCCGTCTATTCTATGCATAGAAATACTGTTGTGTATCTTTTTCAAGCAGTCAAGTTGTTAACCATATCTCGTTTGATGCATTGCAGCTGTTCAACAACTAAGTTCCTATTTGACATCCATTCAAACAGTATAACTGCTACTGTCAGTAGTTTATTTCATTGGGTTTTATTGATTCCGCCCTAGAAGAGCCAACTTATAAGGTTATTTCAAGCTTGTTGAAGACGCATAGTTATGGTGATTTAGACTTAAAACATGTTCTGACCAAACCATATTCCCTCTGAAACATTCAAGCAAACATTTTGCAGTATTGTGGTATAGGTTACATTGACTTTGGTTTAATCGATACGTATCCATTTTACACCTACGTAGCCTGGTGCATTCTTTTCTTCTGAGCCGTATAGCAGCGTACATTTCACGAAACTGCTGTCTTTTTCCTGTCACCTCCTCTGTAACTGCAAAACACTAGTAGGTAATGGACGAAAAATATTTTCGGAATAACTTTTCAAAATTCAAAGCTTAACTTAAAGAAATAGCATCCATTCATCATGCTTACGTATACTCACACTATATCCTTACATTAATTGTAGTATTACCCTTTTCTAATAGCCTTCAGCGATTTTTTATTTTTTTGTTACACTGTCTCATTTCGTTCTCTCTCATGTTAATTAGTCGATTTATAGACAACAAGGCCTCACAAATTAGACTCTGCGCATCAACGCTAGAACTTATTTTGAAATGATGACAGTGCTTGGTGCAAATGTGTTTATTTTCTCGCATTTAGCTACTTATTTTCTCTACCGTCTTTCTTTTGATTCACCAGGTTCCACTACCTTCATTCATGTTTTCCATTTACCTTTTATTTTCAACCACCTACTTGGTATTTACAAATAGTTCATTATCTTATTTTAACCACATCTACCTGTTCAAAGAAGCTGTCGTACCTATTGAGAGAGTTTTAACATTTAAATTTCTCTTCGCTTTTTACCGGTAGATGATATTACCTTAGGATATTCGCATGGTCAGTGACAGCAAACAGCTTTCAAAAGCAGGAAGTTGATGTTTGTATCGAGATTACTTTTAATATCTAACACTCTTGGCTTTCAGAAACCCGTATAGACGGAGGTTTTCAGTTTAAAATTTTTCCACTTTAGGACATTGTGGTGCAGAACTTTAACTAGCTAACAAGTTCTTTTGTTCGCTTCGCTGACATAAGTGGTTAGGACTCTCGCCGACCATGCACATGGTATGGAATTCGATCCCCGGCCGACGAACTCCTTTACCTCGCTAACCCAGAAATAATGCTGGTAAAGAGGAAAGGTTGGGCATGAGACTAGCAACCCCATCCTGTAAAATAAACACTGCTACAGATACTTCAATCCAATGGCTTGAAGCCCTATGTTCCGCTGGGGAACGTGTAGGAAGAACAAAATGAGGTCTGAAGGCCCTAGGTATGGAAATACAAGTAAATTGAGGTGTAATCCATAAACTTCACCTTGCGAATATCCGCAGGTTTAAATGTTCTGGAAAGTTCTCATGGAATATAATGGGGAGCCCATCTTACTTATTTAGGCTTTCAAACACATGAATATAGTGGTTTTACCATGATCTTGTTACATCCACGGAAATACTTGTGCAACTGCTGAAAGGCAATCTTTAATCCTTTGATTAAGGATTATAATCGTTAACTCCACATAAAGTGACTTCGGTAAGAATTCTTACCGATTAATCGGTTTTATTATATTCTATTAAGGTAAACATTCAACCATCCTGTTACTAGAAGAATAGTTTTCAGTTTTCTCAGAAATCCAGCATGAAAGTGTGTGAATTTTAGTCTTCAAGATACATTTACCAAACATATTTGTTTTCCCTCATCCAACGATTTACATTCATGTAAAAATTTTTCACTATTTATTTTGATGATTAGCAATAATCCGAATAAATCTGCTGAAGAAGCTGTGGCTTACACGGCGAAACTTTCAGAAAAATCTTGTTTTGATTTTCTTAACACGCTGGGATTAATTTAAATAATTTAAAATGAATAGTAGAAAATAGCAAATAAATGGCGAAATAATAATGGGAGAAGGGCAAAGGTTCAGAAAAATAACTTCCAAACCAGCTAACAACATTAAAAACGAGGGTATTACATTTAAACTATTCGGAATCACCATAATTTCCCTAATGTCTAAGTAATTTCAGCGCACTTGATTTTATCATTTTGATCCCGAGAAATGAAGCATTATCTTATCCATTTATTCACGTTCATTGACTTTCTTTGATCCATAAAAGACCCCTAAATTACCTATTATGTATCTTTTAACGGTATCACCTAATTAAATTGAAAAGTCGCTTTTAAATTCGAAGCTTTCAATTTGCAATACTCCTAATACAATATCCAATATCGTTTTCACGAGCTAGTATAAACCAGTGTGATTTCTTTGTGCTCGCCTCTTGACTATGAGATATAGGTTCCTGATCTTTGGTAAACTTCTGCGTAGCTCGTCCCTTCACTAAACTGTTGTAGCTTTGGTTGACTCCTAAAGGAGTAGTGGTGGGATTAGTTTTATGTGGTTTGTAGTATGAGGCGTTTTAAGACTTTCGCTACTGTGCATGGAGTTGATCCTTTCACCAGTTAGTCCTCTGGTGTATTCGTCAAAATAAAAGACAGTAATAATAACGAGATATAATTTGTGTAGGTTTTCCGACTTACACACGGAAAAAGAAATAAAGAAAACGTAAAAACGACAGTCAGTTAAATCTGAAGTTGATATAATTATTGATGTAAATATATGTATATAATATCACTTATAATAAGCGTAAGTGCTGTACTTGGAGTAGTCAGAAGAGTAAGACAGTAGAGAATGTAAAGAAGCAAAATGACGAATTTAGTTGTGTACCCATGGATGATGTATTGGATTTTAAGGGGATAGGCCGTTTGAACGCAGTCCTTGTGTCCAGACTTTGCTTAAAAAAGTCCACAGACGACATCATAATATCTGACGATAAGGAGCTTCAGGGAAGGCAAAACTTGCTGTGAAAAGAAGTGGGAGCGCACTCGGGTCCTTGCCATCTGGTAAGCTATCCTTCTGGGATTTTCTCGAGGAAGCCTATACCTCGTCAATGGCAAAACACCTTCATTTGTGTGATTCCGGTCATTTGTTATCTTGTAGGCAGTAATCAAACCGTCCTTAGCACACGGTAGTTAAGTGTAAATAGGACTAACTTCTTTGTCCTTTCATCATATATTTTATTTAGCAGACCAACCACTCCTTGTGTCTTCAGTCTTTGAACTCTCTCCAAGAGGTTCGCGGCTCTTCTAAACAGTGAGGATGTATTGATATTATGCACTTCAAGGTGTGGTCTGACTTATGTTTCGCACAACCTTAGAAGGAGATTAGGGGTGAATGTACATAACTTTATGTGTAAACTGCATGACCGCATATGTCCTCGCTGCACCCCCGTGTAATTTACGCTTGTGTCTATTTTTCCGTTAGAACTGGACCTTAGTGACGCCCCAACTCTCTATAGGGCAAGCTTTTGTTGCACAGGGTGTAACTTGCATCCTACGATCCGTAGGTGAGCAATTTCACTTCTTTGCACCTTTCCAGGTCGAAAGTCATACCACCGGCCACCGCCCACCCTTCCAGAAGCTTTAGATCTGCCTGCAGATTATCTCAGTCTCACGAACGCTTTAATGCCTTCCATATTTTCACGTCGTCAGCGCATGGAAGAGTCAGGCAGCTTGGACACCATGATAGGTCAGTGACAAAAATCAAATATATTAGTGGTCCTAGGATAGAACTCTGCGACACTCCTGATGACGAGCTGTGTCAAGATGATAGAACTTGATCTACCTTTGTGCAAAATTGCCTTTAAGCTAGGTAGTCCTTTAACCATGACAGAAGTGACTTACCTATACCTGCCTGAATTATTTTGTGTAGGAGAATGTCATGGTGAATTGTGTCAAATGCCTTCTCGAAGTCTAGGAAAACCACATGGACTGGAGCATTTGTGAGTACTCTACTACGACTTAGAGTGGTCCTATACTCTAAACACCCTTACAAACTTCTTCACCGTTTCGCGACCTTAACAGTACACTACTCGACGTGCAAATACTGACGAATTGTATCGCGGTAAAAAGACAATGTGACAAGGGTACCTGGGAGAATTATATTTTATTCAACGTAATATGGAATTCAATAAATAAAGAAGTCATACAACTTATCTGCAGACGTTGCTGGAAGTGGGCTCGGAGAGTGTGCAGGAAGAGAGCACGAGAGAGCGAACCAATGAACGTACTGAAGGGTCACAACTCAAAAGATAAAAGTGTGTCAAACCTGGGTGAGCGAGTTTTAACAAAAGTTCAAGGGTACAATGTGCACTACAGGTTATCCCCCCCCCTAGAAGGTTGGTGGGAAACCAGCAAGCTTCGATATACAAAAGTAGGAGGGCTTTGTACAACAGCAATGAGTGAACGCGAAGGTTTGAAGATAGGAATAGTAAAAAAGAATTTTCCGAAACGAAAGAAAGCAAAAGAAAAGAAAAGAATTAAGGTAAGTCGGAAGTAGTATGTACATGATTAGTGAAGTAAGGCGGAATATAAGAAGAAATGACCCTGGTGCCTTGTTTGGTCGTAAGCTTCTGTTGTTTGGTGTTGTTTTTTATCTTTAATTTTTTCTTTTTTTATCTTTTATATTTTTTATTATTTTTATTTTTTATTGTATTGGTATTTATCGATTCATTTTTTTTAACTCCGTACTATTACGAGCTTACTCATGTGGAGGTCTGATGGTATAACTCCGCCGCCGAGGCTGTCGTAGCAAGAAGGTGACTCATTATGCCTAATTTTCATTTTAGACTAATGCTCCCTTCCTCCGCTTCAACAGAACCTAGCGGTCATGTTATACCAGCGAATGATAAGGAGCAGGGTAAAAACAACAGAAGAGAATGGGAAAGAAGGTTAAGATTTAAAAATCGGCGTAAAGGTACTACAAAAGCTTGTGCGAAATCAATGCCAGGAAAACTGGTGCAACTTGGAAGTAGTACGTCAGAATGAGAAAAAACAAAGGAAGTTTCTACCCTGTGAGAACTCACAAAATTACAGAGAAGTTTGTACATAATCAATAGCTATGAGTAGTTACCATTACAAAAATTTTGTTCATGTTGCAAAGTGCATACTAAGATGATGCATAATGTTTACGAGTACGGTTCACAAAATAAATGAATCGCAGGTGGCATAAACTCGAAGGAATATAGTACAGCCTGTGAAAATAAATTGAGCGGATTACTATGTACAGCATAGAAGTGAAGCATTTATGCGCAATAATATGTATATCGGTCCATTTAACTATACAGTGGAAGTTTCTCTTTCTGTATTTTTTTATAATCTTCTACTTTTTTTTGTATTTATTTATTTATTATTTTTTTACATATTTTTACTTTTACGTTTTTTAAAACTTTTTTTAATAATAATGTTTTTATAAATAATTTTTTTCAATTTTCTTTTTTTTGAATATTTAATTTTTTTATAGATTTTTTCAGTAATTTTTTTGGGAGATATTGTGCAGTGAAAGGTAATATACTGTTTGTAATTCCTCAATTGGCGTGGGTTACAAGATGACATGAGAGGCCATCCGGTCTAGCGAGTAGATTGCGATGAAATAGATGAAAAATTAGGGTAAAAAACTGCTGCTGATCCTCTGTAACGAGAGAAAAAGATTAAAAGGATTAGTGGGGGAAAAACGACTACTCCCAGAAGCGGAACCAAATAGAGTAAATATAGCAAAATTGAATAAAAAATTGTGACAAGGAATAAAAAACCACTAGTAGCATTACCTATGGATTAGTTCAGTGAAAGAATTCTGTGAACCTCTTGGGCCAGTGAACACGTCGACCAGCACGTGTGACAGGGGTCTTACTGGTGACGGTAGGAGAATCATCATTCGCCACTGGAGGTGAGGTAGTTGAGTCTGGACAAGGACTAGGTTCAGTGGGGCTATTTGATTGAGCCGATGGGGAGGGTGAAGGTTCTTCAGTGTATGCCGCTTTAAGTCTGTCTATGCTGACAGTGTCTGGGCGGCCGCATCGCTCAATAACGAAAAATTTATCTTTACGACTAAGGACCTTAAAAGGCCCGTCATACGGTGGTTGTAATGGCTTTCGTATGGCGTCGTGACGCACGAAAACGTGCGTACAGTCATCAAGTCGCCGATCAACCTGAACCTTTCGGTTCTGAGTGCGTGTGGAAACTGGTCGGATTCGCTGCATAAAACTTTTAAGTTGCTGAGCGTAACAGGTGGTATCGGGGAAATTTGGCTCGAAAGCTTCAGGAGCGATTAGCTCGCCTGGTAAACGCAGGGTGGTACCGTACACCAATTCAGCTGGCGAGCACTGCAGATCCCCTTTAAGCGTAGCCCGGATGCTAAGCAGGACCAGTGGTAGCGAATCTGTCCACTTACTGTTGTCTACTGCCATCAACGCAGCTTTGAGTTGACGGTGGAAACGTTCTACTAGCCCATTTGCCGCAGGATGATACGCGGTTGTGCGAATGCGTTTGCATCCCAGCATCTCTAACAATTTCTTGAAGCTTGTGGATTCGAATTGTTGTCCGCGGTCGGTAGTGACAGTTGCGGGACATCCAAAATGGGCAACCCAGCCTTCCATGAAGGCACGACAGATGGTTTGAGCCGTTACATCTTGTATCGGAATGGCTTCCGGCCAACGTGTGAAACGATCCACACATGTGAGTAAATACGAGCAGCCGTTTGACGGGGGCAGGGGCCCTACTATATCCAGGTGTATGTGATGGAACCGAGCGTCTGGGGTCGCAAACGTCCCCAACGGCGTGATGTTATGCTTGGTGACTTTAGCACGTTGGCATTGCACACAAGCACGTGTCCATTGACGCACATCACGGTTCATACCGGGCCACGCAAATCTCGCAGATATCAACTTGTCCGTTGCTCGTATGCCAGGATGGGAGAGGTTGTGGAGGGACTCAAACACAGTTCGGCGTAAAGACGTGGGAACAATCGGTCGAGGAGTACCCGTTGACATATCGCAAAGTATAGTTGTTTCACTGTTTAGCAAGGGGACGCGTTCTATCTTCAGTGAGGTTTTATTTGACAGGTGTTCTAAGTTCAAATCCTTCAGTTGGAGTTCGGCCATTTTATGAAGATCGATGGTTGGTGGTACCGACGTAGCACATACGCGAGACAAAGCGTCTGCTACCGCGTTATCCGCTCCAGAAACGTGCTGGATATCGGAAGTGAACTGGGAAATATAGTCTAAATGGCGTGATTCTCGCGGTGAATACCGGTCTGAAGTAGTGTGGAGGGCGTACGTCAATGGCTTATGGTCGGTAAATACCGTAAATTGCCGGCCTTCCACGAAGTGACGAAAGTGCTTGACAGCAGCATAGACAGCGAGAAGTTCCCTACCGAAGGTGCTGTATC